TAGGGCAAAGGCCGCGCGCGCTCCCGGAGGGGGCGCCGCCCGCCCTCCCGCCGTTGCCGGGGAGAGCCCGGCCGGCCCGGGCCGCCGCCCCGCTGAGCGGAGCGGGAGCGCACTCACCTCGGAGGCTGGGGCCGCAGGCCCGGGCGAGCAGCGCGGCTGCCATGGACGCGAACACCAACAACCTCCGACCGCAGGCGCGCGGGCCCCGGGCTGCGCGGGCGGGGCCGGAGGCGGGACGTCACGGGCCCCAGCCCCGGGGGCGGGGTCCGTCGCGGCTCTTCCCGGCCCCGCCTCCCTCCAGCTAGCGCAAACCGCACTCTCCGGGGGTCCCGCGGTCTCCGCTGTCCACGGACGTCCGTCTCAAAACCCTTGGACGGTGGCCCGCCTCTCCTAAAATCCAAGCCCGCAGCCTAAAATGCCCCATATGGCCACCCCCCGCCCACTTCTCCCGCCCCAAGCCCACCATGCCCACCGGGCCCTCGCTGTCTTTGCTCTGGCCGCACAAGGCAGCTTTTCTGCAGCAGCTTTTCCGCAACAGCAGGGCTTGTTCCTGCCTCCGGGACTTTGCAAGCCCTGTTCCTCTGCCCGGAATACTCCGTCCCTCCATCCAGGCCTGACTCACTGAGGCCTGCCCTGACCACACATTCTCCATCCCAGCGTTCGTTTTCCTTATTCATGGCACCCACCATCTGACATCTTCTCCAGTCCTCACACTGGTCTGTGAACTCCAAGAAGCACAAGGGTCTCGTCTTGCTCTGGTGCTCAATATTCAGGCCCGGGGAATCAGGTTGCCTGGGAGGGAGTTCTCCTTCCCCCAGCAGCTGTGGGGGGCGGGAGGAGTAGGGATGTTACCCCCTTGTTCTGCTGTAGTTCCCATCTCACTCGCAGTTGTGGGGCACTGCTCCCGATGCCATGCATTTGGTCCTTAGCATCCGCCCCAGGACGCCTTCACCCTCCCCAGGAAACTGGCAATTCCAGTTGCTGACAACGGTCTTCCCTTAACACAAATGTGTCAGACCTCCACACCCTCCCAAGCACCTACACATCCCTCCATCCCGGTCTTTCTCCCGCTGTAACTCAGCCAGGCACCTGTCCGCAGCACTGACCCGCAGGTCAAAATGTGCCTTCCACCAAGGCCTTGCCCTGCATCCCCGGAGATCAATGAAAAGATGTGGCAAAGTCCTTAATATGTTACCTTTCATTTAAAAGAAAACCTCTAAATCCACAATACTTTAAAGCCAGATGAATGACTGTGGTTGGCAAATGCTCTGAGGCCTTCCTCACCTTTCTATTGGCCCACCTGAGCGCCAGCCCTGGGTGAAAGAAGACAGGAAAAAGCAGGAGAGGGGGAAATGAGTGAGTGAACAGAGGCCGATAATTGCTTTGGGTGCCACAGACCATCTAAACCAGACATACTTTACAATTGTATTGTCACCTCAGGGTTCCTG